ATAAATATCTACTGAAACTGGGAACTACATATATCCTAGGATGGTAAAGATTGCAGAAATTCAAGTGTATTTGGAAAATAAATGTTGCTCAATTTGCTATTATCACCTACTAATAAATCAACAAAGATAATATGTATTAAACGTTATGTTACTATTTTTACTCATGGATTCTTATTCCTCATGATAATAAAGAAGCTACTGAGTTGTTGGCTTTTTTGTTTTGTACCATCAAATAGTTGTCAAAATTAGATTCATCTTGTTTCTTTTTACTATCTTTATCTCTTTCCCTCCTCCCATTAAGGAAGTCAATTTTATGAACAGATATTTATCAATTTAATTTTATCAGTATGATTTTCGTAAAATACTTTTTCCAAACTAAACAGATGATGCAATTAAACTGAAATGATGTCGAGAAGGCTGCAAATACTCAGCTATATATGAAGCAGACAAAGTGGCACAGCATGCAAACTAGAAAATCCACCAAACACATCTCTTCTTTAACTGTTTTGTTCAAATTTCTTTATTACTGAGTGGACTAGAAACAGAAAATAAAGTTGTAAGTGCCCTTCCTTCACACTACTGCTCAGAGGATAAATACTGTTGACCCACACTAAACATACCATTAATCTCAGACAATTTTCTCAATGTCCTAGTCTAATAGAAAAATTACACCTTATTCATTCAGCCTTAATATGTATCATTGCCTACCTCCTTTTGTTGTAACTTCAGCTGTTTATAGGGATGTAAATGAAATAGAAGATCACAGAGTATTTTTAATGAGCAGACCTCAGAAGATATTAAATACTTAATTAATTAATTCCTAATAGATATATGGTGATTTACTAGTTAATCACTGTGTAAAATGCACCCTCTTCCTATACATCAAAGTAAATACATTTACTATTGATCATGTATAGAAAACAAAAAATACATATTTTAAATTTTCTGTTTTCATCTGAAGAGAGTAGGTTTTAAAGAACAACAGCAACAAAAAAAAAGTATGGTTTTTTTTTTTTATCTTGACATTAATACAAGTCTTAATTTTTGCATGAAAGAAATCCAAATTAAAGGTATTTTCTATTTACTTTTTCCTATATTTTTTTTCCAGTTATGATAGGAGTTAGCAATCTCCTTCAGCATCCACAGATTCAAATGATAAAGGCCAGGGATTAAGCACAGCCGATTAACAGTCTGTGTCCTCTTCAATCTAGCATTTCCACTGTAGATAAACCCATATTCAGACTGAAGTTATAATAAACAGACTGTCCTCAATATCATTTCCCTAGATGACCTCCTCTAAACTGACATTCAAGTATTCTTGTGGAAAATTACTGTTGATCATAACTGAAAAAGTAGAGAATATAACATACATCCCCACAGAAGTGATATTATTTATTCAGATGACCTAGCTAAATGTTTGGACAATAATTTGGATAGAATAATAATTTTACTGTAAGTTATTTTGTTTCAGTTCTGAGCAATTTCTTATGATTATAGATTTGACAAAGGACTTAATTTTTTAATGTCTATTGCTTATAATTATCTTTAAAATAACTGCATTTTAATTTATACTTATTATTAGGAAATAAATGTATCTTGGTAGATTACAACAGTACAAATTCTTTCCCTTTCCACACAGGAAAATAAACATTGAAATTCTCAGAATATACTGGAATATAAGTGTCATGCTACAGAAAATGTCAGCATAACCAATTTGCCCAGTGAACAACTGTGACAAAATGAAGTACTATATGGTCAGTGCTGACAGAGTAGCCTGTTATATACATGTTTTGATTTCTGCTGCAAATTATGTTTTTGCCTAAAATTAAATATATATGTATATAATCTAAAAACAAAGACTCTCAAAGACTTTTGTTTTGTTTTCAGTCACATTTTTATACGGAAATTCTGACATAATATTCAGATACTGACATTTGACATCCAGAATCTCGTGGGTAAAACAAACAAACAAACAAACAAACAAATAAATAAATAAAAAGCAATTACTGATAAAGACATAGAATGCTTAGTGGACATTTAAATTTCTTTACCTAGATGCTCCAGGTATTTTAAGAATCTATGGAATTTTGTATCAGTGTGTTTCTTTAATCTGGATCATTAATATTTGAAACAATTTAATTAAAAAAAAATAATAATCTTATCTACACAGTTAAAGGGTCTGGATTCAACTCCTGTTTCCTCTAGTTTATATTGGCGGAATTCCAGTGAAGCAATTCTGAAATCAGATGAATGAATGAGTGCATTTGTTCATCAATTCTTCATTCAGAGCACGTGATTAAAATTTGGTTCCCTTTGACAGCTCAAACAATAAGAAACAGGCTATGCTATACAGTGGCAAACAAAAAACAAAAACAAGCAAATGCTTTGATTAGTAATTTACTAGAACTGCTTTGAAGTAAACACTGCATGTGACCACAATTCATCCATTAGAGCTGAGCATCAATTCTTTTTACTGAAGCTTTTTTTTTTTTTTTTTAAGACAATGAAAAAATTCAGATTAAGTTTAATAGCCAGAACAATACTTTCATATGGATGTATGGATGATTACATGCACCTTTTCTTGTAGATGCAAGACTGCTTCAAAACTCTGTAATCTGTAGTTGAGAAAGAGCTCAAAAAATGAATTTAACTCACTTACTTTGAGATCTCACTTCAAAAACTAACTCTGTGGTCTATGCCTGTAAGAACTTATCTCAACCAACTAAAACTCACAGAATAATGTGTTTAATCAGACTGTATGGACTACAGCTTAAGGCTACTTATGTTTAGGGTGAGTTGGAGACACACTAACTTGTATGTTATGATTTGTAGTTCAGTTCTTCTTAATCATCTTTGTGAGCAGAAGGTTGCATATTTTCCACACCGAAAGAGTTTCAGTGAATTATATTAAACTAGGGATAAGATTTACAACTTGCAATTAAAACATCATGTATTCCATATATTCATTTTTAAGTATCTTGTTCTCAGTAGTAGCCTGTTAAATATGCTTGTCATATTGCACAGGAACAATCTTGCCTTCAGCTCATCACTGACACCAAACCTAATCTGTCATTACTCAGTTATATTTTCTTTTTGCTTTTTTTTTTTCTTTCTTTTTTTTTTTTTTTTGAGAAGTTATATAAAGGAAAATTGATTACCTTTACATGCTATTTTTTTAAACAGAAAAAAAAAAAATCTAAAATGGGGAGGAGGGGCTAAGTGGACATAAAGTTGTAAAAGCATACAATTACATTTATCAGTCCTTTTTATTTACAAGCTAATAGGAAACCTCATTTACTATTACACACAACACAAGGAATTTTATAGGCTGTTTGTCATTCAACACACAGTATTTTATTATTCTTCCCCTAGAAATTTGCATAGGTTTTTCAATTTCTAATTTTCTGTCTTCCTTAATTATTGGGAGAAATTTCTTACCACTGTATTGGACAAACATGTGATTTTATTTACACTGGATTTTAAAATGATACTGTGTCAGCTGAGCTGATATTCCTTCAGTAAGAACAAATAAAATATTAATCTGAAATATTTTCTTAGAACAAATCATCACAGTAACCCACTAAAAGCTGCAGGACAAAATCCAAAATATAAAGAGACTTCGTTGTGACCCGTCTTTGGAAATGCCCAAAGAGTGAAATGAAACTCTAATGGTGAAAGAACTTGAAAGAGTGTCTCTTTCAAGTATTTATGTACACTCGTGTACACACCCATACCCGCATGCACACAGAACTCCATACCACACATTTCCTCTCTGAGAACTTTCATTTAAGCAGCTTCACAGTATTGTAACAGAGCTCACAGTATTCCCAAACTTTTCCCATTTATTTTTAGATTCCAAGTTTTTTTTCATCAGCTTCTGAGAACAAGAAAAGAAGGTGGTACACTTATTGCTGGCAAACAGCTTGAAAATTCTGAGCAAAGAAGCCAATCAAGGCAGAAGGATGAAAATAAAGTACAGAATTTGCATATTTAGAGTATGGTTACTGACAAATAACAATGCATTCGTTATGCAAATCAAACCCTCAGCTAAAGTGAGTGGATTTGCATATCTGTGAGAAATCTGCCATGTTACACATCAGTAACTTCATTTTAAGTGGCTGAAAGAACTAGCTCTTAGCAGAATATTAAATATAACTGCCAATAGATTTTGTTTTTATTTTAGTTGTGATATAGAATAAACGTTAATCATTAGAGGCCTGATGAAAGATGATTCTGGTTTTTTTGTTTTTGCTTTTTTTTTTGTAAGAAGCAGTACCATTTGGATGCTAAAACACTGCAATTTTTAAGACTGAGATCATGAAAACATTCAAACACTGTGCGTTGCTATTTGTGTTCATCTTTTAGTGGATGAAGGTGATTTAAAGTAACCCTCTTGAGTGAGGAATGCAGAAAACATGTAAGTTTAAGGCTGTTCAGTTCTGTGTAATAAAACTGTGCTTACTTAGTTCTACATTTAATGAGTGAAGAAAAATACGTTGGATTGAAAAGTTTCACAGGTGAAAATCCTAGGCTGAAATAATACAAAATTTTCTATCATCTACTAAAATAATGAAGGCATATACTGTAGGCATATTGATACTAAAATAAAACTAAGGGGAAAAAAAAGGGAATGTTCTGCTTTAAAATGAGTATACTACAGCATTTTTATCATTCATGCAATGAAAAACAAAATGTTACTTCTGACTAATGTTTATTTTCCCTTTCTTCTCTTGTGAATGACGATTAGCTCTAGTTAGGATGTAAGCTTACACACCCTGCCCACTAACTGTAGATGAAATTGTGATGTTACACAGATTGATCAAAGTGAATTCATGCAAACTTGTTCAATCTACAAATTATTCCTTTTGATGAGTATTCAAAAACATGATCCATTTCCACAGATAAAAAGGAAGAAACTGCGCAAGATGCTTTAAAGATCTTGCTACTTATCCCATGCAGAACTGGTAAGTGAGCTACAGCACCATCCTTAGAGTACTTACCATCTTCTGTGGGCACATAGATATTCAAGTACAGGCAGTCTTCATTTTGATCTTGAACATATGTCACCACAGTATCCAGATTGGCTGTAAACCAGACTGGCAGCATGTCGTTGAGCAATGACCTCTCATCCAGGTACTGTGGGCAGACAGCAGCAAATTGTGTGGCGTTACGGACACCTGTCCAAGACGATGGTGGCTCTGGGGGCTGAAATCGCCTTTCCCCAGTTGGAGGAGAGGCATAAGGAACACCCAGATACTGTTCCACTGGACCAAGGATTTCATTGGGCAAAGGTGTTCTTAAACCACGTATTTTGCCATAATTTGTGGTAACCACTGGGTATTGTGCTTGGCCATCAATAAGAGTAAATCTTATAGCCAGTGCAGTTATCCATAGGAGGAAGTTGGAATTCAGCATGACACACACTGGAGTGAAGATCAAAGGCAGCCATAGGAGTCCCATTGGTTTCGACATTATTTAAATCAACATCAGCAGGACTCTTATTTTTCCCACGAGCAGTAGAAAAATGAGTCAAATAAAATGAAAATTATTAATAAAATAAAAAACTATTCAAAAATAGCATAACCTTTCTCAGGCAGCGAAAAACCAAATCTGATGTGTGACTTAGTTGATTGGCTATAGACAAATTCCAGAGTCAGAAGAAATCAGGGAGTGTTTGTCCCCAAGGCCCATCCCAGTCTTGAGTGTCGTCTTAATCCTGACAATGCACAGCACGTTCCAGCCAATAGAGTGAGAAAAGAACCACAGTTACTCCACTTCCCCAGCAAAATGACTCCCTCCAGTGAAGTCCAGTCCACTCAGCCTGTAGTCAAGAGAAAGCAAACAATTAAAATCAATGGATACGTTAATACTGATGTACATCTATACAAAAGGAACAAATAAATTCATACTATACTATCCCACCAAAACCAATACATCTTTCATGAACTCTAGCCACTATGCTTGGCTATGTGTTTCTGAAAATACGTAAGGTAAAAAAACTGAAAATAGGTGCAGGGCTAGAAAACAAACCAAACACTTTGGTTATGTATGTTTTCACACCAAATTCTACATTTAAGTGCCAGTTCCAGAGTATTTTCTGCCCTAAATAAAAGCATCTCCTTTTTAATCAGATTGGCAGTAAAATGGCAGACGCTCATTAGATGTTTTGGTGCACTGAATAATCTCTTTGTTATGACATGACTTCCATGTGGTATCTTTCGCAAGTATGCATAATGTGTAACCCAACTTACCTCCATGTAATTCAGACATTCTAATGAATGTAACAGAATTACCTTAATTCAAAGAAAATGTGACAATACCATTAATTAAAATTACATACTAAATATTGGTTTTCACATCTGCTTTATTTATTTTATATCTGACAAAACTGAACGCTAACAACTGAAAAAAGTGTGATACAATCTCTCAGAAATCAGATCTTGACCTACACACTTATAGCTATGTAAGTTTACTATGCTCCCTTATCTTTAGACAGAAGGAAACGTATAAATTAATTGTGATATTTTTTAATGAAATATGTCACATACCTTTGTGCTAACCATTGCAAGGGGTGTAAGTAACAAGTAAACTACATTTACATTCTTCTCTCTATGCAAATAAATTGAGTTCCTTTTAATCAATTTTTCTACTCAAAAACAGACAATTTCACACTTTGAAAAATCCTTATTACAAGAATCTAGTACTTTACATTTAATGGGATGAATACAAAATAAAAGGTAAATCATTTATATATTTGGAAAATTGGGTTCTGTACCAAGACTCTGTGTCATGAAGATATAAAATCACCTTTCAAAAGCAGAAAAATCTAACGTCAGTAGTTAAAACAGTGATTTCAAATTATAAACAAACAAACAAGAGATATCTAAGAATTATCTATGTTGACACTTTAGGACAAAGATAGGCATCTGAAAAAAAAAAAAAAAAATTGTTCTTTTAAAACCCGCCATTATTCTTTAATGACTGTTTCAGATTTTATATCATAAAATACTTATGAAATACCTGAACACCAGAGAAATATTAGGTACATATTTTTTTCTGTTGAATAAACATTTTCATTGATAGTTTCACTGATAGACAATAGGCCCTAAAGAGGCCTCCCAAGGACTTGCAACGACAATGCAGTTTCTGAAGACAAATCAATCTCAGTCATGTGTTATGTCCCCAAGGGTACCATTTGCACAAACAGGCTCTGCCACACCCCACTTGGGGCCTTCCCTATCTTAGCCTGAGCAAGGGCTGCGAAGCCCAAGCCATGCTGCATGCCCAGCCTGAATCCTGCCTGGGCTGGGTCCCCAGATCAATCTCTGACCTGATATCTCACTCACCTGATGTCTATCTAACTGCTGAGCAGTAACAGGGTCCTCCCACCCCAACCCTGATAGTGAGCTGTGGGAAGTTGCCTTTTTGATGAGAGCACTGCCCTGCCATTGCCATGGGTGTCCACAACAGCTGGTTCATCTTTCCTGGAGAGCTCCCTGGCACTCAGGGTGGCCAACTGGCTACTGGTCACCTGAAAGTCCTCCTCAAACACTGCCTTCCTGTCCTATTTCTGCTACTGCTTTTAACAACAGAAAACAGCATGGTAACTTTCTTTTCAAATGAAATATTGTATTTTCCATGTTAATTACTCTATGGAAGAGAAGTAAATATCATTTCTGGGTCTACCTCTGGACTGGAAAAAAGTCTAACTGGATAATAGAAAATTAGGCAACTTGGACATATGTTTGAAATAAATTGAAAAAACAATTTTTAGACAAATTAAGGGAAGTGAATTGCATTTCTTCCATGACGTTTTTTTTACATCTTCAGGAATTTAGAAAAATGCATGCAGACTTGCTTGTAAAAGCAGCTCCTAGTTGGAAGCATCACCCACTCAAACAATCCAAACTAAAATGTTCAGTTCAACATGGCAACTTTTAGCAACTTGACACACACAGAGAAGTCAAAGATCTGAACCTGTATCCATTCATACACAACAGTTTTATTTGAAAAGCAATGCGTTTTGATGCTAATAGAATACTATGGCCTTTGAAGAAAATGCACTTGTACAATCTCTAAAAACATTGCTTGAGTTTGATCATAAATCTGTTCCATAAGCAATGCTGAGAGATGCTTAAATAATCTATGATTCTGGCCTTCAGGTTTAAACTGATGGTTACCAGGATGAGCAATTAGTACCTTTCCACAATGAGAAGATTAATATTATAGCAGCTCTAAACTAAATCTGTAACCATTGGGGAACTATGACATTCAGCTTAAAAGTTCTCTTTGCTCCAAGGTCAAACATCAGATTATAAAGTGATTGCAAGTTATTGTGATCTGTTTGTGCAGGTTGTGAACAGTAAGAAAAAAAACCAAACAGATAACAAAATCAAATAAATGCCACCAACAGCAAACACAAATATAAATGATAGATATGAACACAGGAGATGGAGAACTGCACAGATTTCCTGGAATTTCTCAGGTTTTATCTAAATTAACCATACGTTAAACATGTACCTCAATTTTCTTTCTCTGATCATTTCTATGTCCCTCACTTTTAAACAATTTCTGAACGCTCTATCGCGTTTTGCCAGTGAGAGTAGATTTCAGCAATATATTTATTATATCAATTGCCTAGAACCTGGAAAATATTATAAATATTCATCTAAGTGAATTCAACTAAACAACATCGGAACAACATAACTACATTAATGGATCAACCAAGTTATATTTTGCTGTTATTTCTGTGGTATTAAACTGCAGTTCAACCACAGCAGTTCAGTGGGTAGTCGGGGTGGAGAAGCTTTTAAAGATTTCTCTTTTACGTTACATGCTAATGCATTCCCCATTAACTCATTCTCTTGAAGATTTAAACATTAAAAGTTAAATGAAAGTAAGATATCAGTGCTACAAGTTAAAGAACTATGATGCAGCATTTTTTAGAGTGAAAAAAAACAAAACAGCTGTATAAAATCATAATGGATCTTGAAGTTGGTCTTAGATTTATGGTTAGCAATAAGGACAAAAGTAGATAATTCACATGCTTTTAAAAATAGAACTAAAACCTGAAAAACAATACAATGTATGTGTAAAAACATTAAAACAGTTTTATTTTTTTCAAAGTACATGCTACATTCAGTTTTCTCTTTTTTTCTCCAGAAAGCCTCTCAGATATCATCACTATTTTTAAAAGAAAAGGAAAACACTTCTAAAGCATTCTGAAAAAAAAAAAAAAAATAGGACTTGGGATGTAGCTACCCAAAGCTGTTGTTGAATAATCACAGATATGGCCTTCCCTTATTTTTTCCTTGTATTTAAAATTATAAAAAATCATTAGCCCCAGGAAGACAAAACTAACAGGAAATGTTCAGTTAACATAGTTGCACTTATGCCACTGATTAAAAACTGAACTTATAGCAGCTATTGCACATAGGAAAATGAAAAAAAAAAAACAAACATATATATCCATGATTAGTCATTTCTCATAATTCTATCTGCTTCTTGAGATAAATTGATGGAGATCACAAATAAATGAGGTATCAATATTGGGAGTAGGAAAAAAAGCATAAACTGTTTCAACTCTTTAAATTACTAATTATCTTCACATTACAGGTGTGCTCTACTCAAATCAAGATTTGACCACTGCTTATATGAATTTAAGTTTCTTATGACTGAACTGATGCTGCCAGATTCAAATATCGTACACCAGAATTCAAACGAAGACATAAAACATATATGGTCATGAAAAAATATATATCAGCAATGAACTTTGATTGCAAAGTATTGTGACAGAGTACTTAGCCTTTATTTGGTAAGAAAGAGTTCAATGACTAAAATATGACCACAGAAATTGATTACAGTATTTATTTTTTTTGACTGTCTTTGTCTAGTCATGGCTGCAGAATGAAAGAAAACACAACTCCTCATGCATGTGTCAAAAGGAAACATACAAAAATATCATCACTGCAATTTAGCATGGTTGCTGACTTAATTACCGGCTCTTACTTCTGATATGACCTTGTAAAAGAAATATCACACCTTCTAGATCAATTCTTATTTCTTTTCTGAACTTCCATTTTTTGATATTAAAATTTATTACTCCAAAAGAAAAGCTTATGATCTGAAAAAGAATGATCAGCTCTGAATTTCTGTAAGGCAAAATCTCATGCAGAGTAAAATTTGTTACATCTGGAGTAAAAGAGATGCATACCAAAAAAAAAAAAATCATTACATTATGCGTTTTTTAGATTTGCAGAATAGACTTTTATAATTCAAATAACCCTTTACAAATATCAAAGTTCATCACCTATTACCACTGCAAGACACACAAAAGCATGTTCCTAAAATGCAATAGGTATAAACTCTCTTTTTAAAGAACGCGCAAATGATGAAAAAAGGAAAATTCTTAAGGTAATATCTCATTTTTGTCTACAAATCAGTCAGGAAAACTCACAGATCTCATCCCTCTCTCGTCTTCTCCATTTAGCCTGTATGTGTCCTTCTCAAGGATGTATGAAACTAAAATCCTTGCTGGAACTCAATGAGAAGGTGACTGAGGGACTGATTGTTATGCAATTTGATCTCTAGAGACTGTTTAATGATTAGAATTTGATATCTGTCTGTTGACATTTCAGTCCAAGCAGAAGAAACATTACAAGCATTACAGTAGCCAAAAACATGGTGAGAAAAGCAATTCAAATCACCTGGGCATATAACTTTTCCTCACCCAAACATGGCAGAAAAACACTGCTCTATTGTACACATTCATAGAACTGAATTATGGATGAGACATTATATTTTCATTGCATTACCGAGTTC